GAGACACAGCAAAGGTTACATACACAAGGTACAAGTTCATAGGAGCACAATTCCTTGATCCAGGGAAAGTAGCATAGAATGCAATTTGAAAACTACAGGCTTAGGACTTTGTGCCAAAATCTCTATTTTAAATGAAAATATTTATATATATAAATACATTTATTCTGCTTAACACAAATGAAAATTGACATAAAATTTTATAACATGATTCATCAAGATATGTGATGTAGATTTTTGAGAATGCCAAAAATCAATTTTCAGAATAGCTACAGTATGAAATCTGAAAAGAAATACAGAAATTGAAAGTGACCTTAAAGAATAAATTTCCTCATTTTTCCTGGTTTCCTATGTTTATAACTATTTTAAAGAGTTTAACTTTCTGGAACTGAAGGAGAAAACATGAAAATGTTTACATCACTTCTTGTTAAGCAGGTAGACCAAATTCAGCTTTCAGTAATTCATCCATATAGAATTTGGATGACCATGTATAAAGGAAAACTTAAATCTTAATTACTATCAGTTTTTTTCTTGTTTGTTGAATGACAAAGGCAATAAAAATAAATTTGACTTTGGCTTTTTCTCTATACTTTCTTCTTTTTGTAACTCTTAAATTCTAGTCACTAGTCATTATGAAGGAGAGTATTGACTAAATATTTTCATAATCTAAATACTGTCACAATCTACATTTCTGTACTAGAGAGAGCCCTAGTCCTTTTTAAAGCCCTTCCTTCGTCCAAACAACACTTGATCCAACCAAAGTTCCAATGTGACTGTAGATTTTTGATAAGTCTTCGGTGTTGGTTGTAACAAAATTTGATTTGAACTACCTATAAGTGAAAAGTCGGGGTTTATTACTTTATATGTAATGCTAAGGGGAGACTGTTGGGAACAGTTATGTCAATGAGCAAACTAGAAATTGGCTTCAAGGTCTGATACTTTTAAAAGCATGTGTTTTGTGCGTATGCTCACAAAGTGTCTGTGAAGAGATTTCTTTCAGCTTTTGCTCAGCTTTATGGTGGGGTGTATTGTTTTACCTGGGCAGTGAGGGTATTGATTTATATAAAAACTGTAGAGAAACACAGTTAGTACAAGTCTCAGCACGTTTTGCATTTATTGTACTGCCCAAATTGTGTTTATGTTAAAAGTCGTGTTTCATAATCTGCAATATTTTTGTCAAAGTGCACATTGTACTTTCTTCTTAAAAATGTGATTAAAGAGATCACTTTGTCCGGATGAAGCAGCTGTTGGCATTATCTGCTGAGGTTTGACCACCACGTGCTGATTCTCTCATCAATCTGAAAAAGAACACTCTGGCACACACGAGGTTAAAGTGTGTGGCTCGAGGCTACTTTTTATCCCACTTTTTAACCAACCCTTTCTTCAACCCCCTTCTACGGAAAGCAGAAGCCCCGTTTGGTTACCAGCTTCGTGGCATAACCATGGCTCCTCGTCCCTGACAGATGACACCTTCCTTTAGAATCCCCCCAGCGTCATCCACTCTGTGTCTAGCTAACACCCTCAGACGGGTCAGCCACCCTGGGGGTGTGCAGGTCAAATATGCAGATGGGGACTTTGCAGACCACTTCAGTGTCACGCTGGCACATCATTTTTTGATCCTTTTTCTTTTTAAACTGCCTGCACCTTTTCAGATAAAGTCATATCTTACTAAGTGTAGCTAATACACTGTAGCTTTGTTCTCTTAATTGCATGGTCAAGAAATGAGTTTTTCTAGGTGTAGAGTTAACCTATCTACTGTGAATGGATTATGACAAACTTTTCAATCTACACAGCATATGGATTATGTTGATGACTCAGAATGTATTCTAAGACCTTTCAGTACGTGCAGAGGTTGTATGGGAATCTGTTGTTCTTCTACTGGAGGGTACAGAAATGTCACTGCATGAGATGCCCAGCAGACAGAATACCGACACAGAGGCTGTGATTTTTCTGATTTCTGGAACAAAACATCTTGAATTAAAAATTCAAATATTTTTATCCTTTTTTATGTTATTGGCTCCTGTTGATTCATAAGTATGACTGGAGACTAAATTTCTAATTTAGATGAAGCTGTTTGTATCCAGTTAGGATAACCTTGCTTACCAAACTAATTTTGTATATGTACATGGACAAAGGAAATTTTTCCTTGTTTCTCTGAAAAATCTTACCAAAGTTTAAATATTAAATCACATGTGGCCGGGCGCGGTGGCTCAAGCCTGTAATCCCAGCACTTTGGGAGGCCAAGACGGGTGGATCACGAGGTCAGGAGATCGAGACCATCCTGGCTAACACGGTGAAACCCCGTCTCTACTAAAAAAATACAAAAAACTAGCTCGGTGAGGTGGCGGGCGCCTGTAGTCCCAGCTGCTCGGGAGGCTGAGGCAGGAGAACGGCGTAAACCCAGGTGGCAGAGCTTGCAGTGAGCTGAGATCCGGCCACTGCACTCCAGCCTGGGCGACAGAGCGAGACTCCGTCTCAAAAAAGAAAAAAAAAAAAAAAATCACATGTAAACCTTTAATCACTTATGGAGAAAATGGTACATACGTGAAAACAGAACCATCCCAGTTTTTATATTTGTGTATGAAACCACTCTCATTTGTGTTGAATGGGATTGTGATGGCTAAAATTCTTAAAAGGTAAGAGCTTCAGAGTGTTGAAAATTTCAATTCTTTTAATTCCAAATGCATGTATCTCAGACTAGGCTAACTCTGTTACAGTGTAACAGAACCTGATTAGAGGAATAAACATTTTAATTGGTTCATTAATTGTTATATCTAAAAAGGCTCTACAAAAGGGCTCAAAGATGGTATATGCTTTTAAACATTAAATACGGCCTTCCCATGCAAACGTAAAGAAAAAAGTTAATTCCAATTATTGCCTTACCAAATAATTTTTAAAGATTATGCAAAAGACATGTATTAACACATCAAATTTTAGGTTTCCATGAATAGTTTGGCATCTGATTAATAAACAGTGGATTTCCTACCCTATCTTACTATTGAACCTTTAGTTTAAGTCCTTTTTACAATAAAGTAAGCTAGAGAAAAAGTGTTAAGAAAAAGAGAAAGAATATTATGAAGTGGAAATGGAATCATAAGGGTTTTCATCTTTGTCACCTTCATTTTGAGTAGGCTGAAGGGGAGGATTTTTAGCTAGAAAGTTATTTTGAATGGCAGTTACAGTTCATTCATTTCAGTGTTCCAGTTCATTTCAGTGTTATTCATTCCAGAGAGATACACAGTGAAGGTACTTTGAAGGTGACCCAAGGAAAATGCTCACCCTTGTCAGTGATGTCACAGACTGGGCCTGACAGATGTTAGGCTTTGTGATGGCCAGGCCTGTGCTTCAGCCCCACAGAACAGATAACTTAAGGCAAACGCCTACCTAGTCATGTACATACAGACCCACAAGGGTCCAGCCCCAGAGTCAGCGGCGGAACACCTTTATTAGGTTTGCCTTGGATATTTTATGTGGTTCCAATTTCATTAAGCAAACTTGGGACAGGTGTAGGTAGGTAAGCTCTCACACCAAAAACTAGTTCTCAGTCTGGACAAGAGGCTGCATCTCAACTACTCAAAATGGCATGGGGATTCTTTGGTAAGCCTGAAGGAAGACTGTCTTCTATCCATATTATACGTTGCAATCATTAATAGGTATTTTAACCACTTTCTTCCTCTACAGTGGACGCTTTGAAAAAAGAACTGTATCAAGATGTAGAACTGATCAAAATACAATGCTTTGTTCAAACAAGATCCTTACAGTTCATTCTTATGCTGTGTGAGTTATCAGCAATAATTAACACTCCTTCCTTAATGTTTATAATTAATTATCTTCTCCCTGGAAGGAAAAATACAAGCTGTGTGAAGTCACTTTAAAAAATAAGAATCAGTGGTCAGGAACCGTTGCTCATGCCTGTAACCCTAGCACTCTGGGAGGCAGGCAGAGGTGGGTAGATCGCCTGAGGTCAGGAGTTTGAGACCAGCCTGGCCAACACAGTGAAACCGTCTCCACTAAAAATACAAAAATTACCCGGGCGTGGTGGCAGGTGCCTGTAGTCCCAGCAACTCGGGAGGCTGAGGCAGGAGAATTGCTTGAACCCAGCAGCAGGGGTTGCAGTGAGCCAAGATCGTGCCATTGCACTCCCACCTAGGCGACAGAGTGAGACTCCATCTCATAAATAAATAAGAATCAGTAACGTTCCTTATATTGAATCAGGAAAACAGAAGTTTTGCTTTTATTGTTTTAGTAGACAGCTATCTATAAAATGGTGTTCAGATACCTGCTTGGGAAAAATAAGAGACCTAAGTATTTGTGCATCTGCTTAACTAGAAATAAATCCTATTGTGAGACGTTACCTTAAAACTACAGTTAACCTTTCAACAACAGATTTGAACTATACAGGTCCACTTAAATGGGGATTTTCTTCCACCTCTGCCACCACTAACACAGCAAGATCAACCGCTTCTTCTCCTCCTCCCCTTCAGCCTACTCAAAATGAAGGTGACAAGGATGAAGACCCTTATGATTCCATTTCCACTTAATAATATTTTCTCTTTTTCTTAACACGTTTTCTCTAGCTTACTTTATTGTAAAAATATAGTATATAATACATGTAACATAAGAATACATGTCGACTGACTATTAATGTTGTTGGTAGGGCTTCACGTCAACAGTAAGCTATTAGTAGTAAATTTTTAGAGAGTCAAAAGTTACACTCAAATTTTCTACTGTTTTGGGGGCTTGGCACTCCTAACCCCTGCGTCGTCCAAGGATTAACTGTCCTCTATTTACTGGCCCTCAGTATAAATGTCAGATTATGTGTATATTTGGTATCTGCATAATGGTTTTAAAAGCCAAAGCTTTGTTTTTACTGTTATGATGTGTTCTAGCATACTGGAGATTACATTTTTCAAAGCACTTCTGGATCCTGAATTGAAATACGTGGCAAGATACATCAGTAACTTCTAAAAATAGAACTTATAAGAAGAAATGATAGTACCTCATTACAATTATAAAGGAGTTTTTTTTTTTTTTTTTAAGAGAATTATCATGTGACTGGCAAATTCAAGAACAAATAATTAGGGCTGAAAAAAAATTATTTTAATTCACCAACCCGTCCCAAGAAAAGCTGTGTTACACATCATCCTGGCTAAATCTGTGGTAACTCTGTCTTAGAGACTTCATGAAGGCTATTATGAAGTTAGGTTTTGGGGGCAAAGAGGCATGGAGATTCAGTCTCATGGCTTTTATTCCAAAAAAATGGTTTTCTGAACACAGTTGCCCAAATGCCTACAATTTTCTGACTTGGCTGATTCTCACTCCTGATAGATTTCTAAATATCTTACAGAAGTGTCTTCAGGAAAAGATGCCAAGCAACGAAATTCCTCAAAGCTGCACACTCAGCACCTGGGAATCACTCAAAGCCTCTCCTGCAGTTTCCCTGAGGGCCACAACCTCTGCCTGCTGTCCCTGTCCTCACAACCAGCTCTCCCTCAGGGACCCCCTAAAGTTACCGCCCCAAAGTCCAGACTGCCCCTTGGGCCTCCAGTGAATCCACCCTGCTGTGGCTGGAGAGCTCTTTCTAAAATAGGAGTGTCTTCAGAGCACTCTACCACAGGAATTCTTCGGTCGTTCCCCTTCATTCGTCAATACAATCTCAACCCCTGAGCATGGCAGCTGAATTCATTCTGAACTCAGTGATTTCCAACTCCAGATGTTCACAGAAACACCTGGGGTGCTTCAGAGTCTGGTTCCCGTGGTCTAAGGCATGCAGCCAGGATACAGAACTAGTGATTCCAGCTCCTTCTGTTGGCCCCAGGTGCAACTCTTGCAAAATTCACTCCCCAAGGGGCCATCCAGCCTGAGTTTGGAGCCTTGCAGGTGACTCCTGTGACCAGGCACACCCTGTACCTTTTCAGAATTTTATTCATCCCTCTAGACACGAGGGCAGAGGCATACCTTCCGCTCTATGGAACCCAAATCCCAGAGACCTGTTCCCAAGCAGTTATGGTTCGCAGAATGTTGGAAAGGGTGCCATTTCCTTCACAGACATTTCAGGAAAGTTCAATACTTCTAACACAAGATCCCATAGAATAGTAAGTTGAACCCTATGAAGATATTTGTGACTTACAAAAATAGCGACTTCATGTGGCTCAACCTGACACTTCGGAAAGAGCTACAGAAGTGATTGAAGAGAATTTAAAAAACGAACCACCACAAATGTTAATTGAGCAGATATAATTTCCCTGAGATAAATATTCCATAAGTGATACAAATGCTACCCATTAGACCAGGGGTTTTCAAAGTTTACTGCGCAAAAAATCAGCCAGGTATCATATTAAAATGGTCCCCAACACGTCTGAGCTGGAGCTTCAGCGTTCATAGGTCTCACAAGCTCCCAAGTGATGCTGATGCTCCTGGTCTCCGGGTCTACACTTTAAAGTAAAAGGAGTCATGAGAAAAGGTGTACCTAAAAAACAGCACCTAACAAAATACTAAAGTCAGTAGTGGAGAATAACAAACATGTCTCTCTATTCTATATTCTAAGATCAGTCTTTGGTTTTCAATATTTCCATGTGTCTGATTATAAAGACTCATTATGTTTATGGGCTTTTTAAACTTCAGAAATAAAGTGCTACGATTTTTAAAATACAAACACAGCTACAAGGGCTTTTAAGAAACTTGCCTATTTCTAAGAGTGAGGGACAATCTTTGAGATCCAAACTCTTCTAAAATTCTATTTCATTGCATAAACCCTTGATCATTCATTGCCTTTTGAGTCTAATCTTCATGACATTTAGTTTGCTCCTTAAGGGCAAGGCCATTTTGTATATTAATAATAGTTTGGTCGCCTCAAAAGCACCTAACATTTACATAAAAGTTCACAATTGTAAAACCTAATCAGAAGTCCCATTTTTCCTTGAAGTAAGATAGGTAAAAGGATAATCTTCAAACTAAAACATACTTGCAATTATTTATCATAAATATTTGATTTTACTCCATGACTTCTAAAATACAGAAATGTTTACTGCTTTACAAAAACAATAAATATTAAAGACATGACAAATTACTGTAGTGTACTAAAATACTTACATTATGCATGTGTCAAGTTGAAAAGAGGCATAACATCCTAGTGGACTAATTGAGAAAAGTAATGTGAACTTCAACTGTCTGAGAGGAAGCCCTTAAGTAACTCTGATTAATACTTGATGTAATCCCAGTGGTCGTCCTGCCTGGCGCATGTCTCCCTGCAAGGCTGTGTTCACCTTCTGTCTGGCCCTCTGCCTCTCGTGGCCCCCTGGGCGCTGTATATGAAACTCCAGTTTAGACAAGAAATGGCGCATCCAAATATTTCCCTGTTGATCAACAGAGTGCTTGTGTTTGCAAGCATAAAACTGAAAATAAAATAAAGGAAATGATTCTTAACACAAGACACGGTAGCATCAAGTTCTTCTGGTCTGGCATGCCACCTGACCCTTATTCTGAATAAACTGTTCATTTTAAAAGCATTCCTGTGCTTTGGCTTCACCACTGGGTTCTGTCAGCACCACAAGGATGCAACCCGACTGGAATGCAGGCTTCCAGGAGCAGGCTGGCATGCCCAGCATCCAAGTGGTTTAGTCCAACTTCAGAACAAGCTGGCAGAGGCCGGGAGCACAGGGAACAGGCCCAAGGGCCCGCTGCTCCATCATGCAGTACAACTGCTGAGAGCTGGGGAAGGGGTAACACACTGTGATTACGAACACAATTTTAAGAGTTCCAATTTAGTTAGCTGTGTAAAAACAGCCAAGCCTATGTACTTTAATCAAAATCAGTGCAGTCTCAGTGTGGTCCTTTTTACCGCCATGAGAAATCGCCAGCGGTGCTTACGAAACACCACAGATTTCTTGGCCCTACCCAGGCCCACTGAATCATCTCTAGAGGGGAGGCCAGTATCTGATTTTTAAGCAGCTTTGAAAAGCAAAAGCCTGGTTCTAACAAACCAGCTTCTTCAATCTGCAGGATTTTGATAGAAAACTCCCTCCTAGTGTATGGAATTTAACTGGAAACTCCAGTTCCAGTTGATCAGAATTTGACTGACATGTCACCCTGTTTTTTAGTAGGAAAATGCTTGTGGTTTCTTCCCTTCCTCCATGTATCATATTCTCTTATTCCACCACCACTTCCCTACCCTGTAGCTGGTAGTTTTTTTACCCTTGAAAAGTGTAACCTCATTAGCCCAGGTGGGAAGAAGAGACTTTCAGGTAAACGTTGAAGATATGCTCGCCTTGGAAAAGCTTCGCTCCAGTCTTAACCTTCCCATGAGTTGCCGTGACTTCTGATCATCCTGCAGGCCTAGCTGCATGGCCAAGGGCTGACCTGGAAGCCCAACAGCTCACACCCACCCGGAAATACTTCCCTTCCACCCCAACCCTTCCCAAAGTGACCTTCTCATCATGGCCACTGGCCCTCATTCAACCACCTCAAATTTTGTTGCTTTATGTTATCCAAATCCATCTACTCACTTTTTAATTTACCATTCCTATCACCACTAGAGTGTGGTCTGTTTAGAGACATTATGAAAATGGCCACTAAGGCTAACGCAGCGCCCAGACTTGGGGGGCCGCAAGGGCTGACCTCCTGGGCGACCCCCGAGAGGAGAGGGGCAATGATGCGGCCCACCGCAGTCACAGACTGCCCCACGCCGATGAGGGTGCCGCTGGCCTGGGCCCCGCCCACGGTCAGCTGGAGGTCCGTGATGCATGTCCTGCCGATGGCAGTGGAGAAGGACAGGAGGGTGGAGGAGAGGACAACTGCACCCATGGTGGGGGCCAAGGAGTAGAGCAGCAGCAGTGCGCAGGTGAGCATGCTGGAATGCAGCAGCAGTACCTGCGAGTTGTGCTTGTACAGCCGCAGGATCGGCCCCAGGACGAGGCCGGCGACGGACCCCAGCATGCTGCTGTAACTGATGAGGTAGCCTGTCACCTTGGGCCGCACCCCAAAGCGCTCCTCCAGGGCCAGGACAAAGTTACTGTAGTACAGCATGACTGCCACGGCCATCAGCAAGCGCACCAGAAATATGTCCCACATTTCGGAAAACAGCAGGTTCTTCATGTTCCGCAAAGCCAACCCCACTTCGACCCAGGGCCGGGCAGCCTTCTTGCTGGCCCTGGCTCCGCGGTTGGTGGCTGCCTCCTGCATTGCGTCATGGCTCCTTCCCAACAGCACGTGGGTCTTTCGCAATGGCAAGCCCTTCTCTGTACTGCCCGGTTTTGCTTCCCTCCATGGAAAGAACCAAACGAGACCTGTTAAAATGGCACGAGACCCGTTAAAGCACTGAATGCACTGAACCCATACACTACCTCCTTGGGGAAGGGACAATTATTTGTGTTAGATTACTAATCTGTATTTTGGTACTAAATTTACTAGTCTGTATTTTTCTATCTAGTCTTTCACCATTCCTATGGCTTTATTCTGGCAACAGGATTCTGGCAAAAGACTCTTCGCCTTTAAAAAAGAACATCACGATACCTACAAAATACTCACTGCTTTCTCCCAGCTCAAAAGCCTATGATAGTTTTCTACATTTCATCATTTCATATCTAAATTGTTATAAATTTAAATTCTTCCCTTATTAATTTTCTAATTATCTGCCTATTCATTGTTCGTCTGTCCGCCTAACATCCATCCATCTATCCAACCATCTAGACATCCAATATTCTTGGAGTGCTTCTTAAGTGCTAAACACAGAAATGTATTAACAAAGACAAGGCCTCTGAAAACACAGTACTCAAGACACTAAAACTTAAAAAGGGGTTCACATAAGAAAAGAGGCAACCAGATTGCGATATAAGGGCCATGCTGGGGCAAGTGTAGGCTGCTACATATGTGACGGCCTGCCTTGGCTTGACCGACGGACAGGGACAGCTTGGCCAACTCTCCCTGGGAAGCACCTGCTTGGATCTGCTCCAAGTCAGGGTTACCTAGTGCTTGTGCAGGTCACACCTGCAAAACCTCAGGGGGCACCATTCTCACAGACCACAACATATACAACCTTACGCAGTGGCTCTAACCACCACTCAGATGATCCCACCTCTGTCCTCATGGGACTAGCACATTCTTGCCTGTTGATCTCTTGCCAATCCTTGCCCAAAAGTATTCTTAAAACTGAATTCAAACTTGCCACTATAGGACATCCTTCCAAACTCTACCCTACTGTTTTTTCAGTTCTTTAGCACTTAAAAGTTCCACTCAGACCAGTGGCTATTCAGAGCCGCTTCATGTTGTTTCCAGCAACTTCATTTGTGTGTCATTTCTCCAAATATCGTGACAGTGCTTCAGCCACAGACAAATTTACGACGGAAATCCAAACACATGAGAACATGGATGTGGACTTTTAATAATTCAATCTTAAAAGGGCCCTTGAACATTACACAGAATATTGATAAAAATGTGAAAGAATTATTGCTGATGGACTAAAAAAGTAGAATTAAAATAATAAAAAGGATGATGATGACGGCAACTAACTTCTGTTGAGTGCTTACTATAAGCAATCCACCCACCTACCCATCCATCTGTCCAATCTTCCAATATTCATGGAGTTCTTAAGTGTGAAACGCTAAGAAAATATTAGTAAGACAAGGTCTATGAAATCCTACCTCAGGCACTGGGGTAAGCTGCTTGTATTCAGAACCTCTTACAGTTCTCATAACAAGGCTATGTGTTTTGTTACCCCATTTTATAGATGAAAAAGTGGGAGACAATTTGCCCAAGGGTCACATTAAAAGCTGGCAAAGCAGGGATTTGAACCTGAGTCTGTTGGACTCCAGAGTTTTGAGTTCTTAACCATAAGAACAGAAATCACGATGAAAAGGCTTTCTCAGGCAAAGTGGCAGACCAGAGGAGGATATAAGAAACTAACGGGTGCAGCACACCAACATGGCACATGTATACATATGTAACAAACCTGCACATTGTGCACATGTACCCTAGAACTTATACAACAAAAAATAATTAATTAAAAAAAAAAAAAAGAAGCGAACGGAGTAAAAGCGTTGAGGAAAACAGCTATAGTCACTGGGGGGTAAAGGATGGCAAGAATGGGATGAGAAAGCAGCACAATATTATGTTCATTGCACTGAATGGTCAAAGCCCTAAGTGGGACACTGTGTGCTGTCTAGCCAGGTCCTCCTCCCTCTCCTCCTCTGCTATTCTATTGGCCCCAGCCTGCCTATCCTCAAGTTTCTTACTTTGGCCCCAGCCTGCCTATCCTCAAGTTTCTTATTTGGGAAAAACAAGTTCCTCTTCCTTGAAGCCACTGTGGTTGGGAACACTTGCAGCGGAACCTTTTCCTAACTGCTTAGAGCCATTTACAGGCTTAAGATAGGGCAACGTATTAAATGGCACTGTTGTTGAAGGATCCAAAATAGAAATCCATAACCAATTTTTTTGTTATACGCGGACTTTCAATTTTGAGTGATACCACATTCATGTACCTTCCTTTATATGTGAAGATACCTGGTCACATCAATGAAGCACGTGTTTGAGACTGTTTTATCTAGGTTTATGTGAATCCATTAGGCCTCCCCTCCTGATTCAAGTTACAGGTTAAGTAAATTCCTGGCAAAAAATCATAATGTATTTCTGTGAGGATGGAGAATAAGCTCATGAACTTTGCTTCCTGAGTCTGATATCCTAACCCAACATGGAAGGCATCATGCAAAACAGAACCCTGAATATGAAGATTCAAAAAGCTGCAGTAAAGTACGATATCATTAAATGTAAGGAAAACTGCCTAGCATGAATTCTCGTTTATGAAGTCATTTATCCAAGGGCCAGCCATGCACCACTCTCTAAGCGAAGAAGATGAAAGACATTTTAAGCAACTAGCCCTGCATCCAATATGCATCCATATATGTATGTATTTATTTGAGACAAGATCTCACTCTGTCACCCAGGCTGGAATGCTGTGGTGTGATCATGGCTCACTGTAGTTTTGACCTCCTGGACTCAAACAATCCTCCTGCCTCAGTCTCTCAAGGATTTGGGACTACAGGTATGTGCCACCATGCCTAGCTAATTAAAAAAAAAATTTCTGTAGACTCTCACTATCTTTTCCAGGCTGGTCTTGAACTCCTGGGCTTAAGCAATCCTCCCACTTCAGCCTCCCAGAGTGCTAGGATTACAGGCATGAGCCACTGAACCCGGCCCAAAGTGTATTCTGCACAGGGGTGATAACAGTGAGTAAATAGGACAAAATCTCTTCCTTCATGGGGTCTGCCTACTGATTTGGGGGGACAAACAGAATGTAAGCAGTAAAACAAATTAATAACATAATTTCAGGAACGCTATGAAGAAAACTAAGCTATTTTAGGCAGAATGGTCAGAGAAGGCCTAAGGGAGCAGATATCTCCGTCTTGAATGATGAAAAGAGAGAGTCGATAACAGATGTGGGATAAATGTGGCAGGTAGAGGACTGGCCTGGCACAAGGCCCTCCTATGGGAATAAGCCTGGCATGCATATGGTTGATCAGAAAGCCAGCGTGGCCAGAATGTATGGAGGGAGGCAGAGAGACGGGCAGGGTCTGCCCATCACCTACCACTGTGCCAGCTGTGAGGCATGTGCACTATTGTGATGGAAGCCACTGGGGGTCTGTAGCAGGAGACGGCGTAGTCTTTCTTTCTTATTTCCATAATTATATTTAAATTTACATTAAATACATTAAAAATAAAAGATTTCCCTTTTAAATTGCAATTAAAACATGTATCATGCAGAAGAATAAAATTAATCCCTTCCTCACACATGACAAAAATCAACTTAAATGGATTAAAGATAAAAATCAACTCAAAATGGATTAAAGACAAACATAAGACCTGAAACTGTAAAACAGAAGGTAGAAAGGTAGAAGCTTCTTGAATTGGCCTTGGCAATAATTTCTTAGCTATAACAACAAAACCAATCAAAAAATAGACAAATGGAACTACCTGAAACTAAAACACTTCTGCACAGCAATGGAAACAAATCAGCAAAGTGAAAAGACAACCTGGAAACAATCCGTAAAGCCAAAAGTAACCTGCACCGTGGACATGATTTGCAAATCATTCAACTGATAATGAGTTAATATCCAAACTATGCAAGGTACTTCTTCAACTCAACAGGAAAGAAAAAAAAAAAAAACAAAAAGCTCAGTTTAAAAATGGGCAAAAAATCTGAATAGATATTTCTCCAAGATGTGGCCAATGGGAAAACAAAAGGTGTTCAATGTCGCTGATCATCAGGGAAATTCAAATCTAAACCACAATGAAAAATCACCTCGCACATGTTAGGAGGGCGAATATAGACACATTTTTAAAAGATAAGTGTTAATGAGGATGCGGAGAAAAGAGAACTCTTGGGCTGGGTGCGGTGGCTCATGCCTGTAATCCCAGCACTTTGGGAGGCTGAGGCAGCAGATCACATGAGGTCGGGAGTTTGAGACCAACCTGACCAACATGGAGAAACCCGGTCTCTACTAAAAATACAAAATTAACCAGGTATGGTGGCACATGCCTGTAATCCCAGCTATTCAGGAGGCTGAGGCAGGAGAATCGCTTGAACCCGGGAGGGGGAGGTTGCAGTGAGGTGAGATCACGCCATTGCACTCCAGCCTGGGCAACAAGAGCAAAACTCCATCTCAAAAAAGAAAAAAAAGAAAGAAAAGAGAACACTGGCACACTTGGGAATGTAAACTGGTACCGGCCACTACGGAAAACACTAGGAGGGTTCCTCAAAATGACTTTCACTTTTAGATGGTGAGTCTGTTCATTCTGATAAAAACTAATTGCAAAGAAATAAGAGAAAAGTAGGTAGATTGGTCAGTATGAATACACAAAACAATCTTCTCATGACTGTCAACTTACTGGCATTGAGAATGAAGACCAAAAAGCAGATGAAGGCTGTGAGATAAAACCCATCCTCCAATTCAGTGAGATAACCACCGACCACGGGGCCCAGGATGAAGCCCACACCGGAGGCTGTGTTGAAGTGTCCGATTACAAGCGGCCGTTCCTTCTCTGGAACCACATCAGAAAGTAGAGCCCTCGAAATGGAGAGTGTGTGTTTAAAAATACCTGCAAGGGGATGAGAAACAGTCTCTGTAACTTTGTCCAGACCACAAGTATCTCACTTATGATCCTGTGCTTAACCTTTATCCCGATGGAGTTCTGATCTCCGGTTTCTTTGGAAGGCAGCTATGCTCACCACTTTACAACCAAGGCATCTGATCTTTCCTTTGAACCTCTGAGGTCCGCTGGTTCCATCCCACCATAATTGGACTCCTGGCCTAGCACTCTGATCCTAGTCGGTCACCTTATCTCTGGCAACCAAGTCCCTTAGCCCTCAGCTTGCCCATCCTGTCATGACCTCCCAGGTGTCTCTCAGTTACCCAGCTGCATTTCACAGTGGCTTCCATAAAGCGAGTTTTCCTTCTTTACACATTAACTCATTGAGCCAATATTTACTGCATGCCTACTCTATGGCCAGCCCTAATCTTGACCCTGAGGATAAACCAAGGAACAGAGAAACGGAGCTGGGGAGAGGACAAGGAGTGAGTAGAAATCTGATAGCACCATCACTGAACCAATACCAATGGATTTTCTACCAGTAAGAGGCCTGTGAATTTGTTGAACAAACTGAAAGCTGTGATACAACTTTTAATAAGAAATAAAAGTGACTGACAACTATACTCCTCATATCTCTGCAGATGCGATTTGACTCCTGTGTCCCCAGATCCCCATGTGCAGAACAACCATACTTGCAAACATGCTGACAGACTCTGGTAACCAGCAGCCCACTATTTTGATCAATACATAGTAGAAACTGAATAAATGCGGCTGGCGGATCTGCGTGAATCACTCAAGTGTGATGTGTGATACAGCGTTTCTCCGTGATCTCCCGTGGGCAGTCCCACTCTGCACATCACTGTGCTGCCAGCACACTCGTCCTACTAATCTATTCCCAGCTCTGCCTCAAAAGTAGTGTGGTTGTGTGCCTGATAGCCAGACTCTTTGGAAAGCAAATGTGTAAATCTCTTTTGGAATTAGGTAGATGGACTCTCCCTAGACCTGTTTTCGTAAACATCAGAGAGGACTGGGCCAGAACGTGATTTCGATAGGTCTTGCAGGAATTCTATGATTCTTTTTGAAATTGTATTGATGTCAGGTTCACTTTATATACATGAGGGACGAGAACTGCGGTAAGAGTCTCCCACAAACAATCCAGCCTCAGCTTCTCTTGTCTTTCAGAGGTTGGGGTGGTGGACAGAGTGGAATGGAAAATGAGGCGTCCAACTCAGGCACTTAAAACTCAGGCACTGACTCGAAGTCAGTGGCTCATTTTTAGGACACGAGGATCTGAACCCATGACTGACTTTGTGAAGCAGAACCCTGTGAAGCCCCCCATGGCTTGCTCCTGTTCACAGACCACTAAACACTGTGGAGGTTACACGGGCAAGGAGTTTTTATGTATAGCGCTCATTGGTGAAGATTATAGTGACAGTTCGTATAAGAGAACCCTCACTACTTAAGCCCAGGCTCATTTCCTATTAAACAAAACATTTTAATCCTCCCCATAAATCTCAATGCATTTTGCAACAACTCTAGGTTCTTCTTCATCTTCCCCATCTGCTTCTTTAGAATTATCAACAGTACACACCACACCACGTAATGGTGGAGCGTGTTACACTGCAGAAAGGCACGCTGCCCACCAAAAACAATAAACTCAACACCAGATGCACGTACAATGGCTATCACTTGGATTTTGTGTGTGGTACTGGGGTTTGTAAAGACAACTGAACAAATTCAAGCAAAGACCTTCATAAAGCATTTATCTAGTCAACAAAAAGGCATGGTTAAGAACTCTGGGGGCTGAACTCTGCAGACTTTCAGAGTAAATGAAAAAAGTATATATTCCACAGAAATGGTGTGGAAATCCCAGGTGAGCCAGCTGATCATCACGTCTATGTTAAAATGAGTTATCTGATGCTCTATTTATTTGGGGAGTCAATTAAAAGCGAGCAGTTTAACAAAACTCGGGATGGTGCCCAGTGCCCCTGACTTGTCGAGCAGGGTAGCAAAGCCTGCCAGTGCTCTGACAGGTACAGTGAGAGAGACATTGAAACTCCTCTAATTGCTAAGAATGGCAAAGAGAGGACAAAGAGCTTCTACGGGAATAATCTACCCACCAAGCACTACTCAGCATTCACAGGAGGTGTTTCAAAAAATGGACAAAATAAAAGCTAGTTCAAAATGTTAAAAACAGCCCAGACCAGTCTAGAAGTAGCAAACTCACCCACGAGCTGCTGTATCATAATCCCAGTGTCCACTGTAATTGACAGTCAGACAGAAGGAGGCCACAGGAAAGCTAAAGAGGTGAATCCCAATTTGATGTGAGGAAGCCCAGTTACAAAACTACAGGCTCACCAAGGGAGAGAACGGGACCCTCAGTGCTGGCCAAAGACACTTCACAAACTCTTACTGACTTGATGTAAAGCAAGATCAACAGGAAGGAGACAAGTCCCAGTACAGCAGTGTGATCATCCACGCTGACAGGCTCTGAGGGGCAAGGGGCTCCGTCAAGTACAACTCCAGGTTTGGTCAAGATAGCGGAGTGCCTGGTCCGTGCTAAATGTTCAATGGCCAGCAGCTGCTGGTGTCACTTATAGCCACAATTGCCATTGTAATGAGCACTTTATGTAAGTGCTAATCAAAGAGGCAATGTCCAGCAGGAACAGGCTTTAGAGAGAGAGAAGACACACACACACACACACACACACACACACACACACACACTTTAGAGACACACACACACACACACACACACACACACACACACACACACACACACACACACACACACGGCCAGCGTTTCTGCCTCTTAGAAGTCCCACATTTGGGAAGCCTCAAAGACTTGCCAGGCACGGCTCCCTTCTGAACACTCTTTATGCAAGGAAGGATGTTGAGCATGACCACAGAGGCGGCCCAGGAGGAAGCCTGCCATTTCACATATTGAGGTTCTGGAGGAAGCTATGTTTGGGGGGGAAAAAAAACAAAAAAAAAAGTCACTCACCTGCCGGGACTCTAGCCAGGACAAACAGGAACATGTTGGTGGCTGCTCCGAGAAGGAGATAGCCCAGGGCACTGAGTAGAATGCAAGTCAGCAAGGAAGACTGCTTTCCCACCACATCGCTCCAGCAGCCCTGAGGAAAGCAAGAAAAAGCCCTTTGACCCCATTCGCAGTAACAACTACTACCATGCAAATGACCAAAACAAAGTGACCAGGGGAAACCATTAGAAGATGCAGTGTCAGATCCTCAAATGCTCAGTTCCATGATGCCATTTGTCAGAGTAAGTTATTTTCTCTGATCTTCACACACAGTGAATGGAAAAACACAATGTATTTTTCTTTGTCCAAAAACAAACAAACAAAAAAGTCTGATGATCTGGTAGCTAAGAAAGGCAGGAGAGATGATAAAGTATAATTTATAAAGCCTCATTCTCTTCACTCTCATTACTTTACACAACTATGCTCTTCAGATACCATGTACATTTTAAAAAAATTTAGAAAATACTGAAAAACAAAATGAAGAATATAAAAATACCTCATAATCCCAAATGCACCTATATTTTAACAAAATGGTCATACAAGATGCTCTATTTTGTAACGTGCTTTTTCACTTAATATGACTTAAGCATCATTCCATGTTATTAAAACTTTGCCTTTGTTACCATTCTAATTATATTCCTTATTCCACTACATACCAATATTTATTTAACAAACTGTTTTGTTAGATTTTTGCTCTTTAAAAATTTGTCAAAAATATAAATAATGCTACAATAAGCATCTTCATAGCAAACTCTCCACAGATACCCTTAAAAATTCCCTTGGAACAAATCCCTAGAATTAGAGTTGCTCCAATTCTATGCAGGCATTTTTTTTTTAGGCATTTGCCATATACTGACCACTTACTCTCTGGAAAGATTTGTAATCCCATATATACTGTAATTAGAACAGTAACAGTCTCCAATCCCCCTTATTTCAACCAGCACTGTTACTGTCAATGTTTAAAATCTACAGATTGGTTAAGCAGCATCTTTTAAAATTATGTTTGCCTATTTTCTTGATAATTTTTTAAAAGGTTGTGTACTATTCGCATTTTCTCTCGAGAGAAGCACATAAGGCAGCATTTCTGCTCCTTAGAATTCCCACATTTGGGAAGCCTCAGAAACTTGCCCGGCAGAGCTCCCTTCTGAACACTCTATGCAAGTAAGGATGCTGAGCAAGGCCACAGCGGTGGCCCAGGAGGACGCCTGCCATTTCACATACTGATGTTCTGAATGAAGCTGTGTTTGAAAAAAAAAGTCACTGCCTTAAAACAACAATTACCAAACAGTATACTATCAATGGAGCACGATGTAAAAGGGTTAAGAACAGGGTCCCTCCAGCTGTATGAAACCCTGGATGACCCCCAGTTCCAGTACAATGGGCTGGTCTCCATTAGTCCCGGCTGGGAGGCGACTGAGGCTGGCTCCTGCGTCCCTCCTTCCTCAGCGATGTTCCACAACCATTCCTCACCCTCTCCACTAACCGTGGAAGGAATCTCAGCAGGCCACTCCTCCATGCTAACTGCCAAGTGTACCTATTCATGCCCTCTCCCCATTTTTATTGATATGTTCATCTTTTTCTTAAGGACCCGAAAGATCCCTTCACATAAGGATGTAAACTTCTTCTATAAAGTATTTTTAAGGTAAATCTTCCAAAATACTGTCATCCTCCTACAGGTGTCTTCAATCCTAATCCCCAATTTTCATTTCAATGAATTTTAGAAATTCCCCACACTCCTTGATCTGGGGAAGGGGTCACCGGCCTCCTTGTATTCACAGGGCAGTGGGATAATCTGGGAGTTATACCCTGGACCCCGAGCCTGGCTGCCTGGGCTCAACGCTGAACTCATCATTCCTTCCACCATGACCTCAGACACAGGAGCTAACCTCTCTATGCCTCGGTCTCTCTACCTGTAAAACAAGAATAATATCTGCCTCAGAGATTACCTTCTCCACGCGATACTTTCTATACGCTTAATATAAAATGAGTCACTAAAGAACCACAACCACCCTCTGAGGCTGGTTATTATAAGGATTAGAGGAAATAAAGTTCTCAAAACAGGGCCTGACACACAGGTACTTAATAAATGGATCATTTTTTATTAAAATACATTTATTTAAAAACATTAGACAAATCTGACAGAACATACTTTTTCTTTATAGAGATTTGTTCTCAAAATTAAAATGTTTTTGGTAAAATTTATAATTAAAATACGTGCTTACAAAAGTATGGGTTAAAAAGGAAATTTTAACTGGGCATTTCTGTATCTTAAGGCTTTCTAAGAAAGGTATTCATTGAATTTCAGCTAATTTCAGCTAAAGACATATGAAATGTTCCATGTAAGTACAAACATAAAACAACAAAGGAAAATCTGAAAAAAAGGGCAGAGTCATAGTTAGCAATAAAAATTCACATTCATAAAGTGCTAACTATTGCCAGGTGCTCTGATAAGAGTACAAAAAAAATTGAGCAAGTCAGCCTGGTCTGCATCTCAGAAAGACCAGAGTCCAGAAGGAGAAACCATTTAAAGAATTAACATACGCTATGGCCTAATAGCGCTAACAGACACACACATCAGCTTTTTTGGGAGCGAGTTTACAATTAAAGAGAAAAGGTGTTTACTAAGATGTAACTCAAACTTTTCTCTCACAAGAAAGAACATGAAATAGGACATTCTGCTTGGCAAGCAAGTATACTGCTCTCCTGTACAACCTGATAACTCTAGTTACCTATTTACCATTTTATTACCATTAAGGCAATGACAGATGACTCCTAGAAAAAAAAATAATATGGGCTTAGAGTCCACATACTGAGATTAGGTGGCTTAGTCAAATTAACCTATGTGGGTCTTAATTGGTCTTAATTTCCTCCTATATAAAAGGAATATACCTAACTACTTTGCTGGGTTACTATAAAGTGTAAATGAGGCTGAAACTATTATTGTTACGGAAATCTAATATAAGAAAGACTTCAATAAAAGATAAATCAGGAAGTAGTTGTTTACTTATTTAAGAATTTATTATGGAATCTGACTGAATTTCTTTTAAAAATGTATTTTACAAGGAAGCAACTCTCGGGAAATGTAAGTACACTTTGTGTTCTTTAAATATGAGACCCCCAGGTCAGCTATTGAGACCAAAGTCACTACTGAACTATTGTGAGACTAAACAGGCTATTCTACTGAACTGCCTGAACCACTGGACACTGAGGTCTCCAGACCAGAGTGATCACAGTAGACTGCACAGGGAGAGGGAAGGGGACGATCAGGTAAGGTCTCTGAAATTCAAACAACTGAGTGGTCAGAAGTAGGGCAGTGGCAAGGTCACCACTGAATCTGTGTTTCTTTCTTATTTCTTAGAAACAGGGTATTACTATGTTGCCCAGGCTAGACTTGAATTCCTGGGCTCAAGCGATCCCCGAGTAGCTGGGACTGCAGGTGCCGGCCACCATGCCTGGCCACCTCTGGATCTTTCTACTCCATGCTGCAGATATACAATCAGCCAATCCAAATGTCCCCTTCTGTCTATACACTTAAGTCTTATACAAAAGCTTTTACTGAGTTCAAACTACACAACTTTAAATGGAATAGCAGAAATATAAATGGATTTGATTACTGTCAATGAAGTGAAATAAATAACAAAATTGATAATAACTTTTGTTTTGAGACAGAGTCTTGCTCTGTCGGCCACACTGGAACACAGTGGTGCGATCTCCCGGGTTCACACCATTCTCCTGCCTCCGCCTCCTGAGTAGCTGGGACTACAGGTGCCTGCCACCACGCCTGGCTAATTTTTTTTAGTAGAGACGGGGTTTCACCGTGTTAGCCAGGATGGTCTCAGTCTCCTGACCTCGTGATCTACCCACCTCGGCCTCCAGAAGTGCTGGGATTACAGGCGTGAGCCACCGCGCCCGGCCTAAAATTGGTAACAACTTTTGTTTACATTCTTTTTGCCCGTAAAAGGTAGGGAATTATAGGAAGAACATATTACAATTTAAAGGTGTTCTCATCCCAAATCTACCACTTTTTGCTAAACTTCAAGTCCCCAATTTTACTACATCTGTGATGGATGAGACACGTGATTACGTTTCACCCAATGGAAGATAACTTACCACGAACGTGCTAGAAAAGAGTTGCAAAACGCCATAGGAGGAGCCTGTAAAAACAAATCAGTAACAATAAAATCAGCTAGACCTATCACAAAAATGGATTAATGTGATAACAATTACACAGAAACCAACAGAAGAACATTACGATAAGAGACCTTTTTGTGTTAAATTATCTCACGTCTTTTTTTTTCTACATGGAAAAATGGAAGTAATACAATTTCTAATAAAAGGTTTTCAAAAAATTGAGGGTAAACAGAAGAGAGAACAAAGGCAAAAGGTGACCTTATGGATGCTGTATGATTGTCCTTCCATCATATGAGATTGTGTAGCTTCAACTTATGAAACAGCATAGAGAGTACTCAGGGGAATAGAAACGTAAATTCTGGAAAAATCCTACTAAGCCTTAAAATCTTAACATTGTCTCTTATGTTTCTAATGTTTAATGGTTTTATAAAATGATTTAATTTTATAAAGAACTTACATTTTTTTTACAGAGTTCTTTTACCCCCATTATCATGCAACATGCCCCATCTGCTTTTCCCAAAAAACTTCACACTGCTGGGTGGTCCAGTGTAATTACAAATACATTTGTCAAGGGAAATACAAATCATGGCTTGGACCACGATTTAACAAATATTATGTACAAGACCATCTACAAACACTTGCTCGTGTGGCTTGTGAATGATCAAGAGCTGTTAGTCTCAACAATTTCTCATTAGTTAGCATAGTCCGAAGCCCTGCTATCTCTTGCCTTTTTGGTAGATCAATGACTTCTGCATAAATTTTTCTGCTGCACAGGCAGAGAAACCCTACAGTCTCTATGATGTGTTGGTGATGGTGTGAGAAGCTTGCAACTAATTGGCTAATGTTCACTCAAACCCTTTCCCACAGGATATAATTTCTGCAGATTATGTTTTCCTGGTCTCTCACATTAGTTTAAGGGTTCCTGTAGGCAGGAGTCCACATATACCTACTCTTTTACACACACAGCCAGTTCCTTGCAGAGGCTCCATAAGCACTTGTTGCCACTAGTGGCATGGGACTTGGTTATAGTGCTCAGACCTCAAAATCTCTCTGAACATAGGTCGTCTAGAAAAAAGGGAATTGCATTTGCTATAGGGTACTATTTTAAAATATTCTGGAAATTTGTTTTATCTCATTTCCCACTTACCTTTGGATAAAATTTGGCTACACGACTGAACTGTTTTCAGGTACTTGGTTCAGAGGATTTAAAATTCAGTGCTCTAAAAATGAGCAGTATCGACCACTCACCTACTATTCCGGCAATGGTTGGACTTGCTCCAAGGGACTTGACATGAAGGCTCAATACAGGCACAACCATGCTGACACCAAACAAATCCTAAAACAAAATAAATGCTGATGGACTCAAATTAGTATTTTTCAAACTAGGAAACCTAAAATTTTAAACTAATTTAAAAATTAAAACCAGTATCTAAAATTTTAAAGAAATCATAATTGGATACCATAGCATGCCATACGAATCCGCTGCCACTTGCAAATGCCTGGATTAGTCTGACCTGGGATCCATTTTAACTTTACAATCAAGGAGGATATGCTACAGAAGTTCCTCAAACAAAACAGATAAAAAAAAAAAAACCCATATTTTCTGTGGATAAGTCATAAGAAAAAATGCAGTCATAATTTGTATTTATTCGTGAACTAATACTTCCTTAAAAATATGTTTCGTTCTGGAGTTGGTGAAAGTGGCTAATGTCCTAGGACCTGTGGTTTATAAGCTTATAAAAGAATACCTGAGAAGAAAGGCTCAGTAAAGCAGGAAGGAAAAAGCTGGTGCACTGGGGAAAGGCCAACGTTTTGCAGCTCAGTCACAGAAAGTGAATGGGCTTTGGGGTCAGGCAGACAATTCCCAATTCCAGCTCCATCACTTACTAAACATTTGTCTTTGGAAAGTTACTTAAAGTTATCAAGCTTCCGTGTTGTCATCTGCAAAGGGTAGAACAGTAATACCTGCCTGGTAGAAGTATGATGAGCATTAAGTGGCATAATGCTTGAGAAAGGCCTGATAAAACAATGTAAGCTCAAACACGTCTTCTGCCTTCTTCAGTTCTGGTGATAAGTACAGGTCCTTTTTGCTAGGTATTCTGAGTTAATAGACAGACTATTAACTTTTCCTTTAATTTTGTTCCTATTCTCACTTCACTAGGTTACCTGCTACAGTTGGTTTAGTGCGAGAAAAAACATTGCACACACACAGTTTTCATTATACTTGACCTGAATTCCTTCTTTCGTAAACCTGGTTAGTTGGAAAGAAAGAACTCACATGAAATGTGTATTTTCCTTGAGCTCAGAGTTAATCTTTTGTTCCCCTTTTCCTGTCCTGGTAGCTGTGCATTCATATAACTATAGATACATAAATTTCCACATACTCTTTTCAGTGGTCCTTTTCCACGGTTACATCTTTAGATGACCCTGTTATCTAATATCAAGTGACTGTAATTAGCTCTTAAAATTACATTACCAGAGTGATGGTTTATTATTTCAATATTGTGATTACTTAAAATTTCCTTTGGGTCTGAGCCAGTTTCTTTTGGGCTTTGCTGTCAGTTGCATCTCATCAGCCCACTGATGTTTATACATTTAAAAGACTCAAAATGTAGCAGCCAGAATCTTCTGGATCTTTCAGAAAAGGAAACTCGATTGTCCAATAACATTTTTTTCCAAAGAAAAAAAAAAAAAGTCCCAGTACAACATATCATTTAATAAAATGGTTATCCTAAATAAGAGATGGAGAGAAATACTTAGTTCAAGAGGCTGAGATCTATGGAAGGTAAGTATGAAAATACAGATAGATACAAAAGCAATAACTGATAGTTGGTATTACTTTAGCACGTGGTAAGTCTGAAAAATACTATATTCTTCCAAGGAGACCTCCCACTGAATCTTCCTCTCAGGAAGTTCTGTTCTAAAATTGTCTTCTCCTTTACTATAAAAGACCACTCCTTTCTGCTTCTGAATCCATAGCTTCTTCAAAATCACTGCATTTGGCAGCTGGTCATGTGCATGTCACCACTTCATAAAAAGATCATGTCAGAAGGGGCCGCTTAAACTTTCACTGAACATCAACATTTTTCAGTAAAAATTGATGAATATGTACACTCAAAAGTTTCAGGACTCTTTTCAGGGTAGGAATCCCAGTAATTATTGATGACTGGACTCTCTCAACAAAAATGAATTATCACCTGAATGAAGCTGATGGGATGGAAAACAAATCTTACCAAGTATCTGGAGGAAAAAAAGTGGTTGAAATAATAGATCTCATCACCATCTAAGCATCCTAAACAAAATGGGCCTCAAGGGTCATCTTGGTCTTCCCTCCTAAACAAATTAAAGCCTGGAAGGACACACACTGCTAAAACAGAACAATTTGGCAAATGACTTCTCTAATCTTGTTCCCTTCCTTTCCCATTCGGAACCCATTTGTCCAAGAATCTTAGAGGTCTCTACATCCCTAAATATGTCAAAAAAAACACTAAATTATGTATAATATTCCTTAGATGTTACCTAACAATCACCTGTTAGGTAGCTTTACGTGACTTTCATATAAAGCTTCATATATTTTAATTGTTTACAATATTTTCCATTAAAAAAATCCCTACTCTCTCAACTTTTGGGAAACCATAAACTTTTCTTGTAAGATATGAGACACCTAACGCTTCCCTTGAATATATTATTAAAGTTATTAAAACTCTGTATCAGGCTTGCTAGATTAGACTTGCCAAGTGCACAGCATAAACATTTGAGAAACTGTGAATATTCAAATCTGTATTGGAAAGTAGACCTTAACAGACGATCTGTGAATTGCTTTTTTTATTCTAATACTAAAACCATTTTGAATTCTAAGTCACGTTCATTTCCAAATTCTCTGAACCCTAGTCTGGACCTTCCAGGTAAGGGCTCGAATGTTTTCATCTGGCTGAACCAGCCCAAGTCCCTTCTAAGATAGGACAGCAGTAGCTTGGGACCCATATCTAAAAAGGCTGGATGTCAGCCAACTCCTCTCCAAGAACCACCCATACTTACTGGTTGTGAATTCTAGGTGCCTAGACTGAAAAGTGGAATTAAGCATCCCCATACCGAGAATGAACTAATAGATTCAAGGATAGTGGACAGAAGGAGTGCCAGTCTCTGAAGTTAAAGGCAAGGAGCTGGAGGGTGGGTCCTGCAATGGCCCTAGAGGCAGAGAAATCCTCTCTAAAAAGCCACCCTCCCTGAAGGCCTTGTGCTTCTGGGTTTGCAGCAATTTGGTGAACATGCTTTCATGATGGTCTTAACTATTACATTAACTATTATCAACATACAGTTGTTACCAACGGTTGAACACGTTGCATGGAGGTGGGGGGCATGGAGAGTGCATGAGACTGGGAGAAGTGGTGGTCTTGACCTGCATCTGGGCAGAAAACGACTCCTCCTCGCCAGGGCCTAGTGCCATCAGATACTATCTTCAAGGCCTCAAAGGTAGTCTTCTCCCATTGACACTTATCTCAGCTCCCTTGTCCTCAAGATACTGGATTAGCTCACACCCAGGGTTACTGAATTAGGCCTAGCCTTGGATAAGGGAGGAGTGCAGAGGTGGATCGAGGGTTCTTGCAGATAATGGCCCAGAAACTACCAACATCAGCTTACTTGTAAGACTAAATTCTTTGGTGGCAGAACTGTGGATTACAACAGTGGAGCTCCACAGCACCTACCACATGGCAGGTGTTCAGAAATGCCATGAATCAGCTTACTGAACTTTCCATTCTACGTAGGAAATTAGCACTCAGGGAGCAAACCAGGACACGCGCGTGCACACACGCACGCACACACACATGCACACACACACTCTCACCATGATGAAACCAAACCTACATTGTGCAATGTACACCTACTGTCCAAAGGTAGATGGATACAATTCACTCTGATTTGCGTGTTTAAACATTCAAGTCAACCAAGAGCTCTAGTGAAAATGCACCCAATTCTGTACAAGTGGGGTCATCAACAGCGGCTTCCCCAGCCTGTTCTGGTAAAAAAAAAGCAAACCACACGCACACACGTCACGATGAAACCAAACCTATGCTGTGCAATGCGCAGTTTGTCGAAAGGCAGATCGGTAAAATTCACTCTGATCTGCGTTTTTTAATATTCAAGTCAACCAAGAACCCTAGTGAAAATGTGCCTAAATCTGTCCAAGCGGGGTCATCAACAGCGGCCTCCCCTGCCCGTTGTGGTAAAAAGGTTTGCGTGTCCCTACCTCACCAGCAGCCGCGCAGCAGCTGGGCTTTTCCAAGCTTGCCCAAGCCCCTGTTCTCCGCCCTGCAAAAGCTGCACCTGCCACAGCATTTAACACCTGGTCACACCTGAGGCTGGTACCAGGGCTTCTTTAAAGGCAGGGAAGGGAAGAGGCTCCGCGAACGGGGAGCAAGCGAACGCGAGAGCGGCAATAAAGCAGTGTGGCCAGATGCAGGCTGAAGTTGGTGATGCGGCAAGAGTGGAGCTTGATAGGTAGTGAGGCACTCGCCAGGCGAACTGCGGGTTCCCACTCCCTGGGAGCTCCCCGGGAGCTCCAAGAACCGCCTGGGTCCCGAGGCCCGAACACAGTCAGCACTTGGTCCCAGCCCCATGCTCGCACTCACCAAGAAGCCTACCAAGTAGAGACAGAGCAGGAAGCGGCGGGTTCGGACCGCACCGGAGTCGGCAGCCCCCGCCTCGGTTCCTGTCTTCCGTTCCTGTTGCGGCTCTGCGATCTCCGAGACCAGCCTGGGGGCCGAGCTCATGTCCCAGTGACCCCCAAGCTCCATACCGGCGCCTGCCGGGGGTCGGAAGCAGCAGCTGCCGCCTACCGGCCCCGGGAGCCCAGCCCCGCCCCCAGCGGAAGCAGGAGGAGCGCGCCTGCGCAGAGAGAGGGGGCGGGTGCTACCTGGCAGCTCCGCGGGTGCGTGGCTGGTGCTGGTGCTTGGAGTTCTGGTCCCAGGCAAGGTGGGGACTGGGCACGTTATCAACATGGTAAGCACAGACCAGTTTGTGATGCTCTTTGTTTCCTCTGGGTACAGACCCTGCTGCCCCTATGGTTGGAGGACAGCAGGGAATTGTAATGAGCTTCACTTCCTCCTACGGAGTTATCCTAGGAGGTGACCAACTCCAGCTTGAAGATCCACAGACCGTGGCTACCAGTTGATTGTGACAGACCTGGAATACGTTAACGTGGCTCTCCAAGCTTTCGTTTGCCTATTTAAAAAGCAGTAGGAAATAATGTAGGCCAACTTCTAGAGGTGTGAGAATTCTACATACGCTTCTTAAGGTCTTTCTCTGGTGCACTGCAATGTGAACAAACCATAGATGGTCTATGCCTGAGTTGAGGTTACAGTCTCATGGAGTAAAAATAATAAGTACGCAGTAAATAAACATAAATAAAAATACTAAACATGCAATAAAAAAGCATACAATAAGTAAAATAATATAGTGATAAATAATATATAGAAGCAGGGTCTTGATGTGGAAAGTAATGAAGTGGGGGAGTGAGCTACATTAGAAAAGCAGTTTGGAGGAGGTAAGCTGAGAAGAGTGGAAAGAAGATAGGTGTGGCTGAAACTTCCTCATCAAACTGAGAGGTCAGCAGGAGTGCAGACCATTTAGGACCCAAAAGGCCATAACAGAGATTTGGGGTTTATTCTGAGTGCCACGAAAGGAATGAAGTGAGTGAACGGCACCAAAAGGTGCCTTTGAATTACTTAGCAAAGCCCATGACACATGGTAAGTAATAAATATTAACAATAGTGACCAGCCCCTCTTTTCTTTAGAACTTGTTATTCCTCTTTTACTATGGGATCGAGAAGAGTCTGACATTTTACTGAGATTTTACTCAAAATCTCAATTTACTTGTGTAGGTTGCTAAATTCTGAGATCTGTTAAATTCAGTGTTGCAAAGTTTCTCATGGGAGGGGGCACTGAATAGGGAGGAATGGAATACTGATACTTAGAATTAAGACATATAATTGAATCCAGGTGAAACTGTCAATCTTGAACCCCCAAGTTATTCTGAGACTCCTTTGCTGGAGAACTAGTTTGCTCTCCTATAGCTGAGGAAACTAGTCTTTTTGTGCTTGAAATTTTGTGATTAGCTCATCTGGGAAAGGCGCCTTGAAGGGGCTGCTCATGTTAACCTATTAAAGCCGCTCACTGTGGCTACTAAATACATAGCTAGGGTGAAATTTTAGCATGCTCTGGTGACAGGTACACATTATAACCTAGGAGGACATCTCATACATACCAAAATAATTGGAAGTATTGGCCAGGCACGGTGGCTCACACCTGTAATCCCAGCACTTTGGGAGGCCAAGGTGGGCGGATCACGAGGTCAAGAGATTGAGACCATCCTGGCCAACATGGTGAAACCCATGTCTACTAAAAATACAAAAATTAGCTGGGCATGGTGGTGGGCGCCTGTAGTCACAGCTGCTTGGGAGGCTGAGGCAGAAGAATTGCTTGAACCCGAGAGACAGAGGTTGCAGTGAGCTGAGATTGCCCCACTGCACTCCAGCCTGGCAACAGAGCGAGACTCTGTCTAAAAATAATGATAATTTAAAAAAAGATTTGGAAGTCTCTGCTAATATATAACCAATGTAAACTTTAGAAACGTGGGGGAGAGATTTCTAAGGGTGTTAGACAAAAAAAAGGGAAAAATGTAACACTAAATTAGGCAGAACTCACTAGTATAGGTGCATTTGCATCAGATACCAGATGTAATAGATTAGCTTTTGCAGCTGGTGGCAGCTCTAATGGTTTACTCAGTTGGCTGAAATTTAGACTCAATGATGACCTACATTTAGCGATGTTCAGATGCCACAGTTTTCCTGGCAAAATGTGGATAAAGGACTCCAAAAGTTTTGGAATAATGACAATGTCAGAGTGGATTTATTGTGTATGACCTGCAAGCCTAATACTCAAATCTATTCCACGAAGAGGCCAAGAAGGCACTTCCTGCACTAAGGCGCTGAGGAATGTGTTAGTGAGAGATGCACTTGCAGTTTTGCTGAAAAATAAGATTTGCTATTGCTGTCTTTTGTAGGCCAGGTGTAGCCATGGAGGATACCACCATTAAGATAAGCTCCCTTATTATATGAGGATAAGATTTCCAGATTATCAGAGGCCAGTTCACAGCACTTAAAAGACAAGGTGGACACATGTACTTTTAAGGTCAGCAGGAATGTACCAGTCACCAGAATGCCTTGACCTGCAGGGATCTTTGACTATGGCTAATTGACTATAGTATCATAGGAATGAAATAAACAGAAAGCCTACCAGAGAATTGATTAAGTTACATAACAGAATAAACTCTAGATCTGGTACCACAAATTTAGTTGGTCTAAATTTCAGCCAACTGAGTAAACTGTTAGAGCTGCCCCCAGCTGCACAAGCTAACATATTACATCTGGTGTCTGTTGCAAATGCACCTAATTTGACTTACCACAAAAGAATCACAGCCTGTTACACAATTACTAGACATAATTCAATTCAAAAACAGTCCCTTGATTCAAGGGGAGTCCAGGTAACTTTGAGGAAGGATATTGTGGCATTTACATGAGTACATTCCATAAATCTTCCTTTTAGCTTTCCCCTAAGGGACCTTCAGCCATTTAGCAGAGTGACTGTGCATTGGGAAGAAAAGGAATAACCAGTTCTTTGGTGGCATTACTAAACTCTGGCTCTGAATTTACACTAATTCTTGGGGACTCAAAATGTCACTTTGCCACACCAGTCGAAGTAGAGCTGTTTTGGGAGACCCTGAGACCATTCCTCTCAGATTCAATGAATCGTGAGGAGATAGAACTCAGCGTATAGTCATACTTGTGGCTAAGATTTATTATGGTTAAAAGATACAAAGAAAAATCAGCGAAGTGATTTGCATGGTGTGAAATCTGAAGGAAAATAGGCACAAGACTCCAAGAGTCTTCTCCCAAATGGACTCACATGAGACATTAATTCCTCCAGCAATAAGTTGTGAAATATTGTCTACCAGAGAAGCTTAGAGACTTAGCACCTGGGGTTTTAATTGTGGCATGGTTATATAGGTCCTTCTCTACTTAGCACCTATCAAAACTCCAGACTCCCTGGAGGAAAGCACGTGTTTAGTTTAAACCATATTGTCTGTACAAACAGTTTAGACACAGTGGACCACTCTTACAAGTTAGGATAGTGAGAACCCTACCAAAATCTGAGTTCCCAGATGCCAGCCAAGCAATAATACTTTAAGCAAAACTTGCAAAGAATAAGAGGCCTACTATGTTAACTCTTTCTTGCACAGAAGCTTAGAGTAGTCAGATGATAGATGAAATCTTAAGGCTGATTCATAGTGGGCCTAGTTGATCAATGTGTTTCCTGAATTCCTGAATGTATAATTGAAATAGAATATTTGACAACTGACAGTATTCATCAATTAGCTCTCTGACCCATGGGTGATCTCCTTTATGGTAGAAAAGACTGAGTGGAAATACCTAGAACTTTCTTACCAAGATACCAAGATTATCTTGGTAATACTTAATTCCCGGGAGAATTGAAGAGATTAAGTCACTGTAAAAGGCTTAAAGGAAGTAAAGGTGGTCATTTCTGTCACATTGCCATTTAACCCTAATCTGCTTGGCCTGTGAGGAGGGTGGATCATGGAGAGTAACTGTGCACCATCATAAACATGATCAGGCGTGACACCAACTGTGGCTGGTATCCCAGATGTACCTTTGCTGGAAGAAACCAGCATGGTCCCTGGTACGTGATAAACAGCTACCATCCTGGCTAATGATTTTTGCTTGTTTGTTTTTGGTCCATACTAATTTGTAAGGACAAACTAAACAAAAGCAATTTGCTTTTAGTGTACAGTATCAACAGTACACACTCACAGTATTGCCTCAGGGATATGTCAGTTCTTCTGCCTCTTGCTATAATAAAATAGTTCACAGAAACTTTCATTATCTTGGCATTCTATATAACATCCTGTATATCCAGTACATTTACAACTTGATACTGATTGAATCAGATATGCAGGATATAGTACTTTAAGAAACTGAGTAAGTTATATGCAAACTAGAGGATGGGAGATAAACCCCACAAAAATTCTGGGTTCTCTATGTTGAAGCTTCTGATGATTTAAAGGTCTGAAGCACGTACAAATATTTTCTGCAAGGAGAATGACAGATTACTGCATCTCTTACCACCTACCATGAAAGAAGAGACACCATGTTTGGCAGGCCCTTTTGGGTGTTGAGGGCAACGTGTATCACGTAGGAGTGTGCTACTTCAAACAAACTAGATATATCACCTATAAGTCTGCCCTTTTCAAATGGTGAACAAAGAGAAGGCTCTGCAACAAGTTCAGGTGACAGTACAAGATTCTCTGTTGATAGGGCTTTGTAATTCTACATATTCGGTGATTCTCATAGTATCTGTGGCAAGTAGGGATGCTGCCTGGTGCTTCTGACAAGCTCCAGTAGTATTATTACAGCACAGATCTCTAAGACATTGGAACAAATATATTCCCGCTTTAGTGGAAATATATTCTTCTTTTGAAGCTTCTAGAATGTTCCTGGGCCCTAGGGGAGACTGCACAACTAACTGTAAGGCATGGGGTGGCCATGCGGCCTGAGTTTTCCATCATGAACTGTGTGTTCTCTAACCCACTGTGTTAGTTTCCTATAGCTGCTGTAACAAATTACCACAAACTTCTTGGTTGAAAACAATAGAAATTTATTCTCTTACAGTATTGGCAGCCAGGAGCCTGAAATCAGTATTACTCGAAGAAAATTAAGGTGTCAGCAGGGCCATGCTCTTCTGGGGGCTCTACGGGAGAATCTACTTCTTGTCTTTTCCGTC